AGGAATGCACAGGAACGGAGTTCCGGCTGGCTCCCAAGTTGGCCATGCCCAACAGGAACTCATTAGCATAATAGGCCACACCCAACAGCAGAATCATTAGGATTGGCTATATTAGGGGTGTGTGGCCTAACATGCAAAGGAGTTCCTGCTACAAAAAAGCCCTGGGTTTTGACAACAAACAAGGTAAACAGAATAACAAGCAAAAGGTGGGTGTGGCTGGGTAACCACACTTCTGGTGACATGGGAGTGCGGCCTAATGCGCTAATGAGCTGTGCTGTCAGGGGTGTGGCCTAATATGCTAATGAGTTCCTGCTATTGGGTGTGGCCTATTATGCTAGTGAGTTCCTGCTGGGCTTTTTCTACAAAAAGAGCCCTGGGTGTGATGAAGGCAGTTTGTATGTATTAAACGGCACTTTCTTTTTCTCCCTAGTTATTATACATGTTCTAAAAATGAACACTTGCTTGTACAATCTGATTCCCGAGCTCAGCCTTGAGTATCTAGCATGAAGTGAAGAGAATACTAGCGAGAATCCACCATTTCGGCGGCAGTTGCAGTGGTCATGTGAATCCACCCAAATGTATTCACGACTGCTATACCTTGAAAAACCATTTGAGGTGTTTTCTAAGACATGATGCCGTGGGCAGTCAGACTTGATCCGTGACAGAGATGCATTCGCTCTAGTTGTCCCTGTTTATCTGATAAAGAAGACCGTTTCCTGCAAGGAAAGAGAAAGGTCACTGTCTTTTGCAGAAGTGATCCGGAGGAATACTTGTTTAAAAACATCGCTATTGCTAGTTTTTGCCAGTCTCCAGGTTTCTTCTGCCTCCAGGGTCTCTAGAAGTTAAGAGACTTGTATTTAGGCAGGAGTTACTCTGCCTAGGACTGCACCGTTAATTTACTTACCTGGAGTAAGGCATGCCTTTAATTGAATGTGAATGCTTGTAAAAGGATGCACGTGGATTTTTTTAAAAAAATTTCTCCTGCATTACTTCCCTTCTGCTGCCCTGTAAAATTCTTATTCAGCAAATACTGCTGAATGTGTTTGAGCTGTCACTACTCTGGCATAGGTAAAACCAGATGCATTCTAAGATTAAACATTATATTAAGCATTCTTCACGGGGGGATTGCAAAAGTAAACTTCAGAAGCCTCTTTGGGGGCATTTCCATCATGCCTTCTTTTAATCCCTTTTTTAATGTTTTTAATTTTTTCTTTTAGTTGCTCCCCCCATCCCCTTATTGTTTTCTTTGCACAGAACATCCAGGCTAAGAGACTTCTTGGGGGACAGATGGATGCAAGAGCTTGCATACAGTTTTGTGGGTGATTTGGTTGAACCTAACAAAAATGGAATTGTGGCCAAATTCATCCCATTGAATATCATCCCATTGAATATTTTAAGTGCTTGTGCAGTACTTCCCTTCCAGTACCTATGAACTCTTACAGGCCTAGCAAATGAATGAATTCAAGCTGCCGCAGAGAGCCAGTGTGGTGTAGTGTGTCAAACCCAGGTTCAAATCCTGACCTTTACCACGGAAGCTCACTAGCAGTGTTCCCTCTAAGCTGAGTTAGTGTGAGCTCGCTCACAGTTTTTTAGCCTCTGGCTCAAACATTTTTGTCTTAGCTCAGGAAGGGATGGCTCCAAAGCAAACTAATCTATGCAGTAGCCAAATCGCTCGCTCACAACTTTAATGCCAGTAGCTCACAAAATAGAATTTTTGCTCACAAGACCCCACAGCTTAGAGGGAGCATTGCTCACTAGATGACCTTAGGTAGGGTCGCCAGGTTCCCCCTGGCCACCCGTGGGGGGTGGGGAGGGGGTGGGGAGGGTTGCCAGCTCCAAATGGGGAAACTCCTGGAGATTTGGGAGTGGAGCCAGGGGAGTTGCAGGGGCCTCAGTGAGGTACAATGCCATAGAGTCCACCCTCCAAAGCCTCCATTTCCTCCAGGGGAGCTGATCTCTGCAGTCTGGAGATGAGCTGTAATTCCAGGGGCTCTGCAGGTCCCACCTGGGGGCTGGCCTCCCTAACCCAAGGCCAGCCACAAACTCTCACTCTGGCGTACCTGTTGTCGTGAGCCAACGGAGGAAGAGCAAACAATGTTCTAAGCCACTTTTGAGTCCCGCTGGGGATCAAAACAGGATATCTCTCCTTATATATAATTGAATAGAACAATGTTCTAAGACACTTTTGAGTCCCGCTGGGGATCAAAGCAGGATATAAATAAATAAATGGAAAGGCGGCTGTTTTATAATAAGTATAATCAGATGCCTTGTCAGAGAAAGCCTTCTTCGTATTTTTTTTAAAAGCAATTAGAGTGATACGGTCAGTCCGCTAACATGCCCCTGCGTCAGAAGTCGCTGAAAACCCAGCTAGAAGAGAGCATCTGAACAGCAATCGGTGAAACTGCACGGGGAGGGAGGATCTGGTAGGGTGTTAGGCAGAGACCCGAAGGGTGAGGAGAGGGTCATTCAAGGACCCAGGCATGTTCCTGTTAGGGTCGCCAGCCTCCAGGTGGGGCCTGGGTATCTCCCACTTTTACAACTGATCTCCAGCTGACAGAGATCTGTCGCCCTGGAGAAAATGAGTGCTTTGAAGGGTAGACTCTATGGCACTGTACCATGCTGAGGCCCCTCCCCTCCTCAAACCCCGCCCTCTCCCGGCTCCACCCCCAAAGTCTCCAGGTATTTTCCGACCCAGATCTGCCAACCCTAGTCCCTGTAGAATGGCACAGAGATGTGGTCGGGGAGCAACGTGGAAGGGGGACGCAAGCAATGTTCCCTCTAAGCTGTGGAGTCTTGTGAGCAAAAATTCTACTTTGTGAGCTACTGGCCTTAAAGGTGTGAGCGAGCGATTTGGCTCCTGCATAAATTAGCTTGCTCTGGAACCCTCCTTCCTGAGCGAAGACAAAAATGTGTGAGCCGGAGGCTAAAAAACTGTGAGCTGGCTCACACTAACTCACCTTAGAGGGAACACTGGACGCAAGCTGTCTTGAATGTTTACATGGAATGTCTCAATAAAGCTGCGACTCAAGTTGCCTTGGCTGGCCCGGTCCCGTTGCCAAGGCCCCCAAAGCAAGGCCAATCAGAGGCCTAGCCGGGAGACGGACTTTAACCACCCTTTTAATTTGCCACCCGGTCTGGTCACATATCGGTGCGTCCTTAGCATGCGGGGGGGGGGGGCATATAATTGTCTGAAAGCTTGCGGTTGCTTAGAGCAAATGTGTACACAGAGGCCCCTTTCAGGAAGCGGCAGAGGGAAATGCCCGCGAGGCAAAAAGGACAAGCTCGGGAGTTTTATTTAACCATTATTGGGCATGCTCGGCAAGCGAAAGCGGTGACTTGAAAAGGCAGGGGAAAGAAGGTTTTATTAAGCCTGACAGAAGTGGGAGGGAGGCGAAGAGAAGAAGGGGGGGGGAAGAGCCGAAGATAATTTAATGTCAAGCGAACCTCCTGGAAGGGAAGGGAAAGGTCATTCCTGTTGTTTTGCATATCACCTGGAACCGTCTGAACGCCTATCTCCATGGAGCTGGGTCTATAAGGCATTTGAAGAGCGAATCAGGATCTGGCGTTGAGGCCTGATGGATGGAAGGTGGCCCAGCAGGTTTCCAGCACGTGGTGATGAAGGCTCTCCCTTTCCCCCTAGGTCCTACCGTCATCCCTCCAAGACCTCCACGGTACGGAGAGACAGCGGAGATCAATCCGCTAAGATGTTCATTTGGACCAGCGGCCGGAGCTCCACGTCGTACAGGCATGACGAGAGAAGGTACGTGGCGCCTGGGCGGCTTTGCCATTCAGCCGGCTTCTATTGTGCCTGCTTGCCTGACAGCAGTAATAGCCTAGCAGTCCCTGTGAAATGGGTAGGATGCTGGGGGTGGAGGAGGAACTACACTGGGTTTTTTGGTCCCGGAATAGTAAGCACCTATTGGCTAGTAGCAGTGACATCAAAGGAGGCCAGGGAGACTTTTGTTTCATACATGCTCCCATTATTTTCGGGAGAAGGGTTTTAACTTTTGACTGTCATTTAGAGAGGCCAAACTCCTTCTGTGCCACTAATGCAGGAGCAGTTTTCATCTGTCAAAGGACTCCCAGACTTTAGCAAAATTGCCCGTTTCCATATAGTATTGCCCCACCATTTCAGAGATATTGTTTCCTCTTGGAGGGATTTTTGTGATCTGTTTTTGTTTTTTGGGGAGGGTGTCTGTTTTGCTCCACGCTCCCCTTCCCAAACACTGTTAAAATCTCTGCCACCAACTGGCACTATATAACTTGAATGGCATTTGCATAGTGACGATTGTCTTAGAGAATTATCACTGCTTGAATCTCATCCACAATCACTAAAAGAGATACAGATTTCTTACTAGGCTGCAGCGACCCATCACGAAAAAATACCTACATTGACCCAATCCGTCCCACCCTGTATTTCAGGAGGCACCAACTCCTATTTCTCACTCAATATTCTGTACATTATGGTTTATTTATTGGGGAGGGGCTGTGGCTCAGTGGCAGAGCCTCTGCCTAGCATTGCAGAAGGCCCCAGGTTCAATCCCCGGCATCTCCAAATTAAAAAGGACCAGGCATTAGGTGATGTGAAAGACCTCTACCTGAGACCCTGGAGAGCCACTGCCATTCTGAATGGACAATACTCACCTTGACTGACCAGTGGTCTGACAGTATAAGGCAGCTTCATGTATTTGTGTGTTCTTGTATTGCCAAGGATCTACAGATGCAGTCACTAGTTTAACATAATTCTCTTTCCGGTGGTTACTTACTCCATGGACACCTAGAACAAAACTGAGTCCTCCTTTCCCTTAGTAAGGTAAAGGTTTCCCTTGCTCGAAAGCCAGTCGAATCTGACTCTAGGGATGTGGTGCTCATCTCCGTTTCCAAGCCGAAGAGCCAGCGCTGTCCAAAGACATTTCCATGGTCATGTGGCCGGCATGACTAGACACCGAGGCGCACGGAACGCTGTTACCTTCCCACCGAAGCGGTACCTATTTATCTACTTGCAATTTCTTGCTTTTGAACTACTAGATTGGCAAGAGCCGGGACCAGAGACAGGAGCTCACTCCGTCATGCGGCACTCGGGTCTCGAACTGCTGAACTTCCGACCTTCCGGTCTGCAGTTCAACGTCTTAACCACTTGAGCCACCGCAGCCTCTGATAGTTCTCTGCAAATGCAGCTTGGGCCTGTGGGAAAGGTAGGGTTGCCAGCCACCAGGTGGCAGCTGGAGAGCTCCTGCCATTACAACTGATCCTCGGGTGACAGAGATCAGTTCCCCTGGAGAAAATGGCCGCTTTGGAAGGCGGACTTTGTTAAATCGACAACTTAACAAAGAGTCAGAGTCAGATTTCAGCAAGTGATTCAGCTTTATTGAGCAACGCGTAACACAACCGGAACAGAACAACCAGAACAACTTTAGCACTGCAGTTGTGCTTCTTTTAAACTCTCCCGGGCTAATGTAGCCACGCCTTACTGTACATAACAACCAATAGGATTGTAACAATAACGTCCAATCACAGACGTTCCCTCTCAGGGAACTTGATGGTAGGTGATTGGTCGGCTCTTCCTGGGCTACCAATAGGGATTGCAAGATTAGGATCCTTGCCCAGGATGAAGCTTTACATGGTGTTTCAGTGATTGAGTACAAACACAGTTTCTCATTAACTTGAATACACCACAGACTTTATGGCATTATACCCCACTGAAGTCCCTCTCCTCTCCAAACCCCGCCCTCCCCAGGCTCCACCCCCCAAATCTCCAGGTATTTCCCAAGCTGGAGCTGGCAACCCTAGGGAAAGTGAGACACCCTCTTCCCCATACATGCTCACACCAGCCCCTTGCCTCTGGCCCGTGGGCAGGGTCAGTTTCTTTTTTTTTTCTTTAAGCCCCCGGAGGGGATTTTTTAATTGATTTTTTCCACTACAAAAAACTACAACAGAAAAAAGGGAGGGGGAAAACTACATATACAGGAGAAAGTAAAGAACCCACTACTAACTAAAATCCCAAGAGAGGAGATCCTCCAACTAGCTTAGATACATCGAGTCTTCTCATCGTTGATCCCTTTATAAACTGAGTCAAACATTTATAGCCCTTTTCCCTTAAAGTTTAAATTTAACTGTCTGGTAACAGCAGGGGTCTTGTTGTAGAAAAAGAGCTGCCGGAGCTCATTAGCATAACTCATTAGCATAACTTATTTGCATATGCCACGCCCCCTGACATCACCGGAAGTGACAGAAGGCCACACCCCCTGACATCACCGGAAGTGTGTCAGAAGGCCCGGCTACTTACCCTCCTGCTTCATCCTCATTCCCAAACGGAATGAGGATCGAAGCAGAGGGCGGGGTAAAGAAGGGGCGGGGCTTCACCACGTGACCGCCCCACCCCCTAGAGGTTCTCTTCCGGAGCTCCATACCTGAGAGCTCCCCCCCGACTAGTTTTATCTTTGATCTTAAAAGTTATGCCTTCTGGAAATAGCCATTTATATCCAATTGAGTTTGTTTGAAGAAAAAGCACAAGTTCTTTGTATTTCTTTCTGCGTTGTCTTACTTAAAATGGAATATCCTTTCGCGTTCTGATGGTGCTTTCCCCTGCTTTCAGGGGTGTTCCAGCAACCGCTTTCAGGATAGCATCCCTGACATGCCTCTTCGAGAATCTTACTACAATTTCCCCAGGCAGATGGGCAGGGTCAGTTTCTCACTTCCAAGCCAGTTCTCAGGAGCAGCAAGAGATCGAGTAGACTGAAATGACAGGAGGGTAGATTTCAGATGAGAATCTTTAGGAGAATCTTCCAAAGGGTAAAAACAGTTTGACAATGTAAGCAGTTACCTCAGAGAGTCGGGGCTCTGGCCAGGAGGGCCCAGGCTACCATGATCTCATCAGCTCTCGGAAGCTCAGCAGGGCCGGCCTTGGCTAGGACTTGGGTGGGAGGCCACCAGGGAAGTCCAGGGTCGCTGTGCAGAGGCCGGCCATGGCAAACCACCTCTGTTCATCTCTAGTCTTGAAACCCCTACGGGGTCGCCAAAAGCCAGCTGTGACTTGACAGCTCTCTCCACCGCCAAGGGAGTAGACTGGGTCCTCCCTTACTACAAGCCTTCAAGTGGCTGCCGGTGAGGGGCTCCATGGTCTGTTCAGGGATCTTCTGGTGTGCATGTGAAGTAACGTCATCACGTCGCTGATGTCAGAGGTGACACTAGTTTTTGGACAAAACACTGTGACGGAACCACGTTGGGCACGCTGGGGGCAGGGCCACAATCATCCGAGGGAAAACCATAGAGTTGACTGCGGCCCCACCCCCAACGCGCCCAACACGACTGCGTCACTTCCGGGTGACGTGCTGACACTGGGCACGTCGCATGCCCAACGGCCCCAACACGACTGCGTCACTTCCGGGTGACGTGCTGACGCTGGGCACGTCGCATGCTTTGGGAGTGAGGTTCCCCCTAACCCGATCCTCCAGCGGCGGGTAACAGGCTTCTCGGGCGGGGGTTTCCCCACCCCCTGGGGGGACTTGGCAAGCCTACTGTGGTCTGAGCCCAATTTTACCATAGAGTTTTGCCCAAAAACTAGAGCGTCGCCCCCCAATGTTTGTGATGTGATGATGTCACTTCCGCAAAAGTGGGGAAAACCCCGCCCAAATCAGGGGCCTGGCAACCCTAGGTTGGACAGTTGTGGGGATGCTCTGGCCTTGGATTTCCTGCACTGAGCAGGGGGGTGGATGGCAGGAGGACAGGAGAGCCCCATCTTTCCAAAAAATCCCTAATGCCACTCCCCTGCTTAGGGTCCCCAGCACTGGGTTGGGAAATTCCGGGATATTTGGAGGGGAAGAGCAGGGTTGCCAGACTGCCTGGTGGAGGCGGGGGTCTCCTGCTGCCAGGCCCTGCCCCCCCTAGCCATGGATCAGCTGGCCAGCAGGGGGAGTTACCAGGAGAAAGAGGAAGGCCCAGGCCACATTGCTGGCATTGCACAGGAAGTGACATCATCACACCGGTGACATCCAGGTGATGCTCTGGTATTGGGGCAAAAACTCTATGGTAGAAGCTATTTTTTACCATAGAGTTTCCCCCCAAGTACCATGGCATCACAAGTGTGATGACATCACTTCCTGTGCGACACCAGCAATGTGGCCTGGGCCTTCCTCTTTCCCCTGGTAAGTCCCCCCCCCCGCACCATTCCCCACCGGTTGCCCTACAGGCCAGGCATGTGTTTATCGCCTCAGTTGGGCCTTAGTCTATTAGCATTTGACATTTTGAATGATACTTGAGATATTTTTAAAAACATTATTTCTAATGCAACTAAATTTGTCAGTGTGTGGCCAATATAGTCTGGTTTCCAGAGTAAAGCTTTTACTAAACAAATATTAAAAACTGTAACTCTGAGGTCTATTACCATGGGAACTTGTTAAAAGAACATCCCTTCCCTTCCGTTCAATATGTAGTCAGAACACTACAAATTCTAAATGCAAGAGTCCAGAAACAAAAATCTTCACATTGCTTCACATTCCTATGTTCTTACCCTGACCTAGGGTTACCAGCTCCAGGTTGGGAAGTTACTGGAGATTTGGGGGGGGGGGGCTTAGAGTTGCCAGCCTCCAGATGGGGCCCAGAGATCTGCTTTTACAACTGATCTCCAGCTGGCAGAGATCGGCTCCCCTGGAGAAAATGGGTGCTTTGAAGGGTAGACTCTATGACACTGTACCATGCTGAGGCCCCTCCCCTCCCCAAACCCCGCCCTCTCCCGGATCCACCCCCAAAGTCTCCAGGTAT